TGTGCTGTGTTATGTTATGTTATGTTGCTATGTTATGTTATGTTATGTTATGTTATGTTATGTTATGTTATGTTATGTTATGTTATGTTATGTTATGTTATGTTATGTTATGTTATGTTATATTATGTTATAGTATATTATGTTATATTATGTTATAGTATATTATATTATATTATATTATATTATATTATATTATATTATATTATATTATATTATATTATATTATATTATTTTATATTATATTATATTATTTTTTCTTATATTATATTATATTATATTATATTATATTATATTATATTATATTGTATTGTATTATATTATATTGTATTGTATTATATTATATTACATTGTTCCCAAAGCTTGCCATGGCCAGGTGCGACCCGGGCTCTTTGGGCGCGGAAGGCCTGGGATCTGACTTCCAAGCAGCCCCGAAGGGCCCGAAGGCTTCGGGAGTCATCACGCAAGCCTGGGTTCCCCTTCGGGGGGGTATACAGAAAGACCTGGAACCGTAATTACGAAGAAGATTTGCAAGTGGCATGGTGCGGAAATTCGTTCTTGAAGCAGAGATCGGTCGAGCTTGGAATCCCGAACGCAGAGTCCTGGAATCCTAGTTTGGACCACGCGAGGAATCGTTTGCATGTGACAGTTGTTCATTCTGCGTCTGCTGTAGCTGGCGACCCGATGTGGGAGACCGGAAGACGGCGAGTCTCTTGCTTGCCTCGGCTCCTTCTTATGAACCCGCGTGTTGAAGGGTTTTCCCGTCTTTGCAGGTACCGCCTTGACCCAGTTCCTTGGTGGCACATCTCAAGTCCGACAGAGGGAGACGGGATTCGGGAACTCCGCCTTCCAGTTTAGTCGGTAGCCGGGGCAGTCCGCTCAATCCTCGGGATCTCCATCTTCAGCAGCTTGAGCAGTACAGGTGGAACTTGAAAGGCAATTCTACTGGCTTGCTGTTAAAACAGCCTGCGGCTTTGCAAGGCTGATGTGTGCGTTGGGCGCCTGGTCCGGTGGCGTCCTCGTAGCCGGGCCGGACTCGGCGCTGCGGGAGGTGCCGAGACTAGCACCGATCGTTGTGGATCGAGGTTGAGTCCTTGAGCCGGCTCAACTCACTCCCGGGCGCCTCGTGATGGCTCTTGACCCCTGTGTCAGCATGTGGACCCGAGCACTTGCGCCCACCCCAGCTCCACGTTTCAATGATGGCGCGTCACAGTGACAAGAGATGGTGTTGAGTATGTGTTGAGTTATGCATGGCACAGCGGCTCTTGCAGAGTGGAGTGCCGATCCCCACATGCCCTTCGCGCACGTTTTTTGTCCAACACCTGCTGCAAGCCTCGGTCGCAGGTGGAGACGTGGGAGAGGTGGTCGCTCGCCTAGACCGGCCGAAGCCGGTGGGGCGGAGGATCCTTAAGATGACGCTGGCAGTGGAGTCTGTTGGGTTTCCTTTCGGGTTCTCCCATGGTCAGTGAGGAGAGTTGGGTTGTTCGTCAAAGTTCAGTTTTCATGGAGCAATGCCGAGCTTGTTCAGAAGGGATGTTCGCATGCTTCATCACGCTTCCAAACGGGCTTTGCTGCAGCGTTAATGTAATTACTGGGGGCGGTGTGCAGTTTGATGGGACCTGGTGCGAGGTATGAGACTTAGGTAGAAACTGCGCACCCTCCCTGGCCGAAGCAGCCGCACGACGTCGAGCTGCAAGTGCTGCAGCCTTCTTTTCCGTGTGGCCGTAGCTCGCACGCAGACAAGGCGAACCGAGTCTTGTGCCACCGGGGTGGGCAGGTGATTTCTGTGAAGAAATCCCTACCCCGGTCAGCGTGCTGCAGTCGCTCAGGTGGCGCAGATGGCTTCTGTGTTGCGTGGCCATACTTTTAAGCAACAGGACAGGTAGGCCCTAGAACAGCCTAACAGCCTTGAGCCCCCAATCCCTGCACATGCAACGCCATCTGGCGGCGAAGGCCGGTGATTAAATCATCGTGGGCCGTTTTCGCAATTTTCCCCTGAGGGGCTTGGCCCGCATCGCCCTTACCCCGGGTAGATCCGGGTAGCGCCCTTTGGCCCATCTTGGCCCCCTTGTGCTTGACACTTCGCTGCATGGCGTGCCGCAGGTCTGCAAGAAATTTGATGCTGATCGGGGCGTGCCGTGGCACACAGACTTTGAGCAGATCAGGTTTTGGCAGGGCTCCGCCCAAACAGCAAGGGATGATGTCAGGCTGTGACTCGGGACGCTGGGCGGAGACCTGCCGTGTCGGCTCCCGCAGCAGCGCTCTAAGCAAGAGCTGCTTCGCATGCGCGTGAGCCCGGTCCTGAAACTCCTGCGAGGTCGCAAGCTTCAATCACGGGTGTACACAATATATCAACATATATAAATATATGTTTGTGTAGCTGTTGTCAGGATACAGAGATAGACAGCCAGCTAGATGGATAGATAGGCAGATAGATAGATAGATAGATAGATAGATAGATAGGTAGACAGATGCTGAATCACTGAGTGGCCCGAAACAACTAGATCGCCGGATACTTGTCACCTCGCACAGTCTTTCGTCTGTCTCAGAGGTTGGGCGTGCAGTCCAGGCGTCGTACGATGCAAAAATTCTGACGAGTTTGAGATTCTGTCGTCTCGATTCCGATATCCATGGCAAGAAAGACGCCTCAGCCATATATGGCTCATTGGGAAGACACAGCATAAGTAGAGGCCCTCATGTTTTGTTAATTTGTGTTGGTACACAACAACCCGCATTTACTCACAAAGCAGACCCAACCCACCCCAAGCGACGACTGGCACTGCTGCAAGGCGGTGCCAGTTCATGACCCAAACTGTGAAGCTGGACGACTTGCAAGAAGATGACCCCTCCTCGCCAGTCGTAAGACGCTGGCTTGCACCGATATGGATTTTTCCGTTTCCATGGATTCGGCATGCAATCACTGCCGTAGTTCTCCGTTTGACTTGCCTGTCCTAGCTTCTTGTCAGTGTCCCTGCAGGAACGCAAGAGCCCCTGTGGCGCGTGCGGCACCTGCGACCTGTGCGACTGCCTTCGCATCTCGGGAAGCCGCCGCCCGTGACGGTGAAGACCCGCTCAGCGGCGAAGCTGCCCCTGAACCGGGCGGCGCTGGAGCCGGAGCCTAAGCCCAGCCACTTGGCCTTCGGGGATGCTCTGCGCCTCACGCTTCCCCCGCTGGATGACGATGGCTTCGCAGCGGCGCTCTGCGCGTGCGTCCGCCCGAAGGCCGTCGGCGACGTTGGTCCGCGGGAGATCGCTCCCACGGATGCCGAGCGGGAAGAGATGCGGCTGGCAGAGGACCTGGCAGCCTCGGGGCGAAGGGCCAAGGACTTTGTGGCAGTAACGGCTGCTCGAGTGCCAGACCCCGACACTGTCGCGTGTCGAAGCGCATGGCGGGTGTTCCGGTGCAGCGAGCTGGACGGGTTCCCTGCTTCTTCCCGTGTGCACTATGGGCAGCATGTTCAGTTCGGGCTGCCATCCGTTGACGATGTGAGCTCGGAGATCTTGCTGAGCTGCGAGCCACCCAGCCGTGGTGGAGGCCTGGGGGCCCCGTACCTGATCTTCGGGCGCTTTGTGGACTTCGGCTACGTCTGTCAGGGACGGCGGAGCTGGAACACGGCTTTCACTCTCGTGCCGGAGCATTCCTCAGCCGGTGGTTACGGTGACCCTGTGGACCTGAAACGGGGCGTGCGCATCGTGCCCATTGCGCCCTTCTCCTACCTTCACGGCCCACGGCTGATGCAGGCCACCCCGTGCCTCCTTGACGGGTCGATAACTTGAGGCTGAAGACTGCTTGGGTGTACAGTGCTTCGAAGTTGCATCTATTCAGTTCGCTCAAGAAAAGAACCTTCAGATTCGATTGCTGGTTCAGGTGGGCTCTTATCCTGGCTTATACCGTTCGGAGCAATCTTTTTTTTAGTTGTCGCGTGAGAATCGGTGTACGGTTACGTGATTACACTCCCACTCCATTGCATCAGGTGTTAGCTAAGCCCGGCTATCCAGCCCTGGCTACCTAGCCCGACTCTCGAAGCAGTGGTTGAGTGTCAGGCCGTTTTCGGGGGCCTCAGCAACCCTGTCGGTCGGGGCTGCATCTCACGATCTGCTGCCGTAACTCGGCTGTGCAGTTTTTCTTTTGTTTTTTTGATGCAGGTTTTGTAAGGGCTTTAGTGGCTTTTGAGAGAGGCTACAACGCAGCTCCGGCCATTGGTAGGGTTGCGTTTGCTGGACCGTCGGAAGGTGGTACTTTGAAGGCACGGGAGCGTGTAGTTAAAGGGGTTGGGAGATCAGGGTGTGGATCGACGTCGATGGTTTCGCCTCATGGCAGGAACCTAAGAGTAAGAGACAGTAGTCTTCGAAAGCGAAACGAATCATGTACAACTACCCGTAATCAGGGGCTCCTACGATCCTGGAGGTGATGTACATCTGTACATCTCGAAACCGAAGCTCAGGTGGGGAAGGACGTGCAGGAGCTGTTGCTGCACGCATCAGCCCCAGAAGGCCTGTGCACACGGGCAAGTCTCGGTGGAGTCTCGGTGACGTGTTTTTCTGCGGATCCAAACTGCTACAGAACTAGTGCCACATGCGCTGTTTGAGCCAGCATCCTCCCGGCATAAAGCTTGACCGGCTCTAGCAGCTTGCTCCTCAGCACTGGAGATTTGCCCCCCGAAGCAGCGGCAGGGGAGCCTCCAGATGTTGGCTGGGTGCTTGAGCGGCTTTGCCTCAACCCGGCCACGCCAAGGACAGCGGCAGGCTCGCAGAGATGGGCAGATTGATCAGTTGCATGAATGAAGCAATAAAAAGCCTGTAGTTTTGTGATTAGCAGGAAAATGACGAAAGCCATGCCAAGAAGCTTCTTTCTGACCAGAGTACCATGTTCAAAAGGAGCCCACAGAGGTGGTGTTCTGTAATAATCTGTGTTCGTAAGTGTACAGTGTATGGGCTCGTAGGTGTTGGCTCGAATGGAGCAGGCTTTCGACTCGACCGTGAGTGAATGGGGCAACTGCACCGCTAGCTTTGCAACCTGACGTCCATTTCTCGAAGCCGCTGCTCCGATTGTTAGTTTGGGGGCATTGTGTTGCCTCACATTGGAGCCGCCGGTGGGAGCCGCCGAAAGCTGCAAAAGCACAACTTCTCAAAGCTTTACCCCACTTTGCCTTGTTCCTTGCAGCCTCGCCCAAAACAGGCGTCCATCCAGCTTTATCTTGGAACGTTTAGAAGTTGCTTTTGTTGCTTGCGTGCAGGTGGAGACACGACCTATGCGCAATGGCATAGCCTCAGGCCAGGTCCAGATCATTGGGGATCCGGGCATGCCTTTTGCCGAGGGTCGAAGTTTGCGGGAGCTCGGGGGAAGTGACCGGCGTGGAGATTGTAGGATTTAGCTGTGAAGGCACGAGCCACCCAACGGCTTCCTGGACAAAAACCACTTTAAGAACAAGTTTGCTAACTTAAACCCTGGACCCCATAACAACATACCATAATATACTATCATATACTACCATATACCACCATATGCCAATATTTGCAACCCCCGAGCTCCCGAACCTTCCCGAACAACAGCCGGCGATTGAAGCTTCCCCTAAACAACTGTAAACCCTAAACCCTAAACCCTAAAGCGGGTCATGACGCCATGACATGATCGCTTTGCTCAAGTATACCACAAGGGACAGTGAGTACCTAATCGAAGCTACATGTCTAAGCAAGTCCCAATGAGCTCCTCCGCACCCAGCGAGTCCTCTTTGCCTTCTTCACTTGACAGTTTGAGGGAACGGATACTGCAATCTTTTGATAGGTGTCCTGCGAAGTGGAAACAAGCAGAGGGTGAAGGTTGGGTATTGCAGGTGGGGCTCAATCCTCGGGATTTGAGTAAGATGTGCGTGGCCACTGCGCCCCTACAGCACCTTTGCGCACAGGTCTGCTCTTACATGAATCTTACATGCCCAGGGCATAAGTTTTCCACAGTGGTAATAAGGGATTCTGCGGGTAAAGATTTGCACAGGGATTTGAGGAATTCACATTATCCGCAAGTAGTGCTGAGTCTCAGCCACTTTGAAGGAGGATCTATTTGGATTGAGTCGCCCAAGGGAGATGTCATTAAAGAATATTACGGGGCCCAAATAAGAGGTTTTCGGTGTGAATTATCTCCCTTTAAACCGTTACGATTCACCGAGAAGACGTTACTGCACTGCACCGAACCCTGGACCCAGCGGAGAGTTGTAATGGTAGCATTCACTGTAATGGGGGCGGCATCGACCCCTGCTTGTGTTCGAGAGTGCCTTGAGGCTGTTGGTTTTGATTTCCCGCATAGTTACGAGTGCGAGTTTTATGCCGTTCAACCGCTGGGACCAGGGCAGTTGTCTCAACAACATTTGACGTTTGGGACAGAGAAGAAGACAGGAATCTGGGAAGTCGGTAAGCTTAAACATGGTAAGCCATTGGTTGTGCCTGTTTCTGACAGCGACGATGAACTCCCAGACACTTGCCTGGACTCTTTGACGCCCACCCCTCATAGGTTGGAGTCACAGGAAACTGTCATCATGTCAGGTGCGATAATGGGGGCCTAGGTAGGTTTTCAGTATCGCTCCAACCGCCGTGTTGTGTGTAAGACGCAACTGAGCCACAGGCTCCGTCTGTTTTAAAGAGCAGTCGGTTGAGGCCATTATCTTGTAGTCTGATATAGATGATAGTGCTATCCGTTTGTTGTTTCCTGCTTCTGTAGTTTTCTCCCTCTCCCTTCTCCCCACCCTCCCTAGAACCCTACTATGCCCACATCTGTTCAGCATGTTTTAGCCTTGTGGTGCCTTTGGTTTAACTAAGGGTAGCATTGGTGGGTTGTCTAATGACTCTCATTTGTGGAATATTGGGACCATGTGTAGGCATTGAGTGCACCCTAGAAACCACCAACCCTCGCCACCGCTGTCACCATGGAGGATACTTTGAGGGTGACCCACTGATATGGCGCATGGCGATAGAGCTTGGAGTTCCGGGCACAACAAAAGAACTGGACAAGAAGTCAAGAGAGCGAGCTGACTGACTGCATGAATGAAGGAATGCAACAGAATACATTGGTGGGAATTTACGAGGCGACTTTGTGGAATTCATGACTCTTTGCAAGGGCACTACGACAGGTTTCGTATGAGGATTCTGCTCATGCGCGGCCGGATACCAGCGGTCTTATTGCATGCTGCATGGATGGCTTATCTGCCACTTGCGTGACTGCATGTTTGTACGACTGAGTCTCTGCGCAACTTGGACGGCCCCTGAGTGACCTTCCTTTATGGGCGGAAACTCTGAAAATTACATGAGTGCGCAATGCAACGCGAGATGGTTATGCCAAGAATCGTTTCTGCTGGTAATCAACATGGGCTGTGACTCTTGTGGTAAGATGACTGCCGCAATGAAGTCTTGAAGATTGCCCAAGAGTGCCCAAGCTGGCGATTGGTTGGCCGTAACAGTGCGTCTGGCCTGAGCATAACTGAGACTCAGTGAAGGCTTTCTGCATGAGAAGGCGTAATTGGAGAATTTCGTGCATGTAATCTGGAATATTGTAGGCTCCCAGACTGCATTACGGTGCGTGATATCTATTTCAGCGTGTTTTTTAGCAGCATCGAAGTTTCACAGCTGTTAACCAAGGAGGAAGATCGCTTTCCACCTGAGCTGTCCCGGCTCGACAGTTAACCTTTTAGGCTCGTTATACTTACCTTAGTTCCCGTGTAGCCTCCTCGGCGTAGTGACCGAAGTCTGCGAACTAGTTACAGTACCGACGTAGACTTTGGTTTGCACATGCGATTCGGTGTCTCTTAGAGGTTCTCTATCTTAGGGGCTCGTCTTGGTGCTGAGCTTGCATGTGCAGTTGTTTCACTTTGCTGCTGACTCATCATTCGCCTCGCCTGGATTGTCCGAGTGTGAGAGCCGAAATCCTAAACCCGAAACCCTAAACCGCCCCGTGTCTAGGGCCGTCATCCTGAAGCGGATCCGCCGGCGCGGGGAGGCTTGGGTTACTCGTTGCTGAAAGGGCAGCAGGGGCCTCCTGGGATCCTGTACTACAGTATTCTGTTATAGCATAGTATAGTATAGTTTAGTATGTGTATAGTATGTGATAGTATATGATCGTACAAAATAAAAGATTATGGTCCAGGGTTTAAGTTCCGGAATTTCCTGTCTTGCCCCGACACCCCGCCTCATCCTTCGGGCACGAGTGAAAAAACAGGTTCAGGGCAAAAGGGCTTCTTCGAAGAGTGCTAGCTGTTAAGTGAAAGTCGCAGACCCAAGCAGAGATCAGATCACATCCCTCACAATTCCATCGAAAGCCATACCTTTTGACAGGTACTGGCCTACAGCATCTTCCGGAAGATCCTTTCCAAAGCAGCCTGACTCAGTATCTCCTGCATCTCCCTCTCAACATGCTAAAATGCACGAGTGTTCTATGGAAGATATGGGAATGAGTAGTCAATAGCAAGAATCCGCAGGACTGCCTGGTGCTGGATGGCCCGATATCCACTAGTCGATTGCCAACGGCGGATGGTTCTGCAACCCTCGCTGAGCGGACCTTGGTCGGCGAGTCCTCCGCCCTGACCTCGGCCCGACGTGAGAGTAATATAGGTGCTTAAAAAATTACCATGGAGGCTTTGTGTGTTTTTTGCTGGACGAGGTCTTGACGTCCTTGCGCTGCGACTACGGCGTGCAGCTAGGCGCGGAGGTCCGGACCTCAGCTGGCGGCGTAGGCAAACATTTCTGAGAGGGCGAGTCGGCCCACGAACGAGAGTCCGGGCATTGGGCGAATTCCCAATCTTGTCAACGATGCGCACGGAAGTTCTTGAAGCATCGAAGTCATGCCCCTTGGCAGGACATGCAGTTGATCACGAAGCACTTTCGGCCGCAGGAGTCCTAGAAGCCTGCAGACTACAGGGGTGCTAAGGCCTCGCTTGTTCCGGCCTTCTCAGTCAGGCAGCCTGAAAGTCTCTTGCAACGCTCTTGTAGAAGAACAGTGCAGGGTTTTGGAAACATCAGGAGCTAGGAGTTCTTGGCAGTTTAACCGTAGACCCCCTAAACCTACAGCCCACAGCCGTAAACCCAAAACCCCTGAAGCCCTTTGAGTCGATAGCCTACATCTGTAGCGCACCATCTCTTCCCATAGCCCTAAGCCGTAAACCCCGACGCAACTTTCCCCAGAGGCCGGGCACGGCGAGCCTCTGGTCCGAGCCTCTCATCGACGTCAACGCCTTGGCGGACGCCATCCGAGGGGAGTGGCCCGGCAAGAGAGGTGTTTTGGAATGGTAGGGTGTATACTATGGAAGTTATGGTATGGTAGGGTATTCCACTTATGTAAGTCATTGTGGTATATCGGTATGTCGTTGTAAATGATGGTCTATGAGAGTGTTTTGTGGTATATTCTGGTGTGCTATAGCATGTCATGGCACATTACACTGAATTCCCGTTTGTTCTATTATCGATTAGAGTTTTCTAGCGCCTTCTAGGATCTTAGGCTTCGCAGGCCCCAGCACATTGGAAATGAATTGGTAAGACAGCCGAAAAAACACCCAGACTGGGCGATTGAGTCGCATGGAGCACAGCCCGCGAGGGCTGGTTTCGCACGCCTTTGGGAACGAGTCGCGATCTAAGGACGTCACCCGGGCGGTCGCGCACCTTGCAGCAGCTGTACTCGCTTCTGCAAAAGCAGGCTCGGCAAGCAGAGCTGGTACTCTGCAGCCGAGAACAGAGAGTTGCGAGGCAGTTCCGTCCACGTTTCTGGACTCGTCACCTGAGGCTCGACGTCCGAACGCAGCGCCCGACTCCTGCCCGAATTTCCGTGGATCTTAAGCCTTTGACGCCATGGCACCCGAAATGCCAGCGCTTGCAAAGATTCTCATGGACCAGGACATCACCGTAGTGAACACCTTTGTGCAGGTTTCCGAGAAGCAAGGGCCTCGCGAGCGGCGTTTGCTGCGCTCGCAGACGGTGCCCGCGACGGCGACGGCGGCCGATGCCGTGGAGGTTGAGGAGCAGTTCGAAGGCGAAGGCTGCGAAAGCGATCTTGTCGCCCAGCAAAAGTCCGAGAAGTCGGTAATTGAGGACTGTTTCGGCTCTGCCTCTTCAACGCCGCGATTCTGGCACTCAGCAACCCCCGACCGATGGGAGTGGGATGCCATGCTCCAGGAGGAGGGGATGACAGGACCGCATCATGACGGCATCATCCGGCAAATTAGCGAGAAGTCCGTGATCGAGGATTGCCACGAGCCCAAGCCAAGTGAGACCATGAGGATGAAGCTGCAGAGTCTCCGGACGCACAATCGTTTCGACACGCCAGATGTCTGGGAGCTGCAGGCAATCTGCAAGAGCTTCGGGGAGTCATACGCAGAGCCAGCGCTGCCCTCGGCTACTTCAGTGGCAGGCTTGGTGCACTCCTCGACCCCCGACCCATGGGAGTGGGATGCGATGCTTGAGGAGGACGACAAGCTCGGTTGCGTCCCCCAGCCCTGTATGGCTCAAGCGCCCTTGATGCTCTCAGGTGTGGGAGCACCTGCACCCGAAACATCTCTTGTGCCGCAAACAAGCGGGGCGCCGTATCCTCGCCTGCTTGGTTCGCCCCATCAGCCGACAAAGAAGCTTTCCTCAAAAATGAGGCCCGGCATGCTGGAGACGAGCCACCTCTCAGAAGGGCAGACCTTGGTGAAGTGGTGTGTGGATGCTTTGAAGTTTAGCTCCAACTCAGGGCGCCTTGTGAGCCCGGACTTTCAGCTCCACTTCCCCCAACAAGAGCCTCTGACTTTTCGGCTGATGGTGATCGGTGGCAAGAACGCTGGATTCAAGAAGGCCAAGGGTAGGGGCAGCCTGGAGCTCAAGTGCTCTTCCGCCGTGCCTCCGGGCTTGCAAAGCATCACCGCCTTTGTCGCTATTGGTGTAGGGGAAAGCCAACAGATCAGTTCAAAGCCAATCAAGCACAATTTCGTAGAGAAGACATGCTGCCAGCTGCGAAACGGGGAGGAGGCGAGTTGGGACTTCAAGAAACTCATCGGAGACGCTACGAACTGTGAGATAGCCGTGGAGATCCACCTTTGAAGGGACCGGGCAGAGCTACTGCAAAGGCTTTTGTTGCAGTTAGGAGGAAATTTGATGCTGTACAGACCTTGGCCCCCGAGCTCGACCGAGTGACGCTCAGACCGCTCGCAGTGTAAGTGTAGCCTTTGGCAGCCTTCTGCCTCGCTTAGCTTCGAGTCTTAGTCATAGCTGCAAGTTGTGTTTGGAGGGTCGAATAAATGTCGGCGTGGGAGGCCCAGGTAAGGGGCAAAAGTTCCCTGAAGAGCAGTGTTTGCTCACGTGATAGTGTTCTCGCATTGCAGCTGCCGCGCGGCGTTGGTGTTGCTGGGCGCCCGGTGCCTGCCTCAGCTTCCGCGCGAAGCTGCAAACAGCCTCTTATAGTTACCTGTGCCAATCAAAGGTAGGTTTTGATGCATGACCTGTCACATTCTGATTCCGGCATACTGCTCGCTACCAGAGAGCTAGTACATGAGTGTCGTATGAGGATTTCTGTGTTTTCGGCATAGCCTGGACACAAAGCGGTCATGCAGCAGTGAAGTGTGAAATAGCAGATGCTGATATGTACAGATGCTGAGGGCATGCAGCCCGCCAAAATAGCATATTTGTACAGCTGAAAAGACAAGTCTTGACATTCAAGCGGACTGGAACTCGCCGGCTCGCCGAAATCCGCGTGCCGAGTGAGAAAGATGAAGGCGTCTCGACTCCCGAAGCGGCGAACTCTGAGTGCTTGAACCAAGCTTGACCCTCGGCCCTGAGAGGCCGGGTTGAAACCCACCGACAGCCTCGCGGTGGGCTGGATCCGCAACCGAGTGGAGCTGCCCAGCTGAGGAAGAGCTGAGTAACGCTGAGACTTGCAGGGAAGTAACCGCTCTTCTGAATGCTGGTCGTTTGACATGGCAGCCGGAAGTCTTCAGCGAGTATAGTAGCCATGGAAACGTGTTGCGGTGATGGTACTGGTGCTGACCAATGTATTGCACGTTGCTCATGATAAGGATGTGGACGCCTGTAGTAAGATTCGTCGCTGCAAGAACAACCTTCTATTCATTCCATTCTTCACGGCTTCGTCCGTAGCGCGGGGTTTCCCAACAAGGTAGGTTTGGAATTCGTCAGAGTGGTCGTAACTAATAGTGCAGAGAATTTGTATCACCAGTGAACACAGAAATAACGGAAGCAAGAAACGAATGAATAGACACGCTGGTGGTAGTAGTGGTAGTAGTGGTAGTAGTGCTCGCCGTACCATGCAGCAGCAGAAGTAGTAGCAGTAGTAGTAGCAGCATCAGCAGTAGTAGTAGGAGGAGGAGTGGTGGCAGGTAGTGGGGTAGTGGTAGTGGCAGTGGCAGTGGTAGTGGTAGTAGAGCTGGCGGTGGTGGTAGTGGTTAGTGGTGGTGGTGGTGGTGGTAGTGGAAGTGGTAGAGGTAGAGGCAGTGGTAGTGGTAGTGGTAGTGGTGGTAGAGCTGGCGGTGGTAGTGGTAGTGGTAGTGGTGGTGGTGGTGGTGGTGGTGGTGGTAGTGATAGTGGTAGTGGTAGTGGTAGAGGTAGTGGTGGAGGTAGAGGTAGCGGTAGAGGTAGAGGTAGAGGTAGAGGTAGTGGTAGTGGTAGTGGTGGTAGTAACAAGCAGCAGCAGTAGCCGCAGCAGCAGCAGCAGCAGCAGCAGCAGCAGCAGCAGCAGCAGCAGCAGCAGCAGCAGCAGCAGTGACCAAGGTCCACCGAGGTGGGCGGCGAACTTTTCCCCGCAGAAGATCTGCTCGCCTCCCTGTTGCTCGACGATTCCATTAGGATTGCTCAGCGTTTCGTGTTGAGGTTCGCTGGGTCGATACTTTAGGAAGCTTGCCGTTTGAGTATCCATGGAGAAGGGTTGAGGGTTCGTTCTAGTGTTCTTTCGATGTGAGTATGGTTTTTGTTCTTTTCATAACCCCGGCTCGGACTGGGCGTCTTCGTTGTGCAGACGAACGCTCTCGCCGTGAGTCTTCATCCCAAGGCCCCTCGTTCGCAGCCACGCGGGCATCACGCGCTTGGCCTTCTTGCGCTGGCAGATGGATGCGCTCGCATTCTGCCTGCATGGTGTCAACTTGTTCTGCGACGGAGCGTTTGTGACGTTTGTGATTCGGGCTCGGGAGTAGACGGTTGCAGCTATCCTGCACCGACAACAAACGGACGGAGAGCACGCCGTCCCGATTGGTGAGGTACTGATCCCTTCCCATGAGAGCTGTCTCGAGTTCTTACGCCAGCACCTGGGCTGAGGATGAGGAGAGGATGATGATTCCACTGGTTTGAGTTTCAATAGCATCAGGACATACACGGTGTTCAGCTGCTGTGAGGCTTTCGATGCTTGCATGTGCTTGCATGTGCTAGCTGCAACCGATCCCGTCGCTCTGAACTTTGGGTTCTTCCATGGTTCTTCTTGATTATGTAAAATATGCGGTCGTCCATAAGGTAGTGTTTTTGGATCCGGGTTTGTGTTTGGTTGCTGTTGGCACTGGCTGAAGCTTCAGATTGTCAGGACCCTCCTATAGGATCCATATCGTCCATATCACAAGGACCCCCAGCAGGCACTCCGAATCACAAATCACCTTAAACCCTAAACCCTAAACCCTGAATCGTACTTACTTTCGGCATCAGATGATTGGATAGTCTTGGCATCTGATTGAACTGTGGTGACCGATAAAAATGTTGGTTGCTTAATCAATGCATCCACTGTACAACCCAACAAACCTCGCCGTGAGCATAGTTCTCTGCAATGCGAGAGGGAAAAAAAACCCTGAATCGTCTCTGAACATCTCTGAACCACAAACCAGGAGCAGGATTCCTCAGGAGGTCCGACGCTTTTTTGAGAGATGGGAGCTCCGCTTCCCTCGCCAAGGATCTGGGGAGACGTCGTCTTAACCATGGGGACGGAGGTCGCCCGGCTTCTCCTGGATTCAGTTTCTGTTTGTTCCACGGCGGTTGAAGGCTTCTGTTGGCTCAGTGGCCGCCAAGGAAGAGAAGTTCAACTGGAGCTTGTCCCTCCCGCGCGGCGAGGTGAAGGTTTGAAAAGGCAGGCCTGGCGGCTGGTGGCTGCCATAGGCAGCATTCCGGCCAGCTTCGAGCAGCACTGCCACTGCTGGGCTCTTCCATGCAGCCGGGGTTTTATACGATGCTGAGACATTCACTGCATGACTCACCAGATCCATTCCCAGACCCCAAGTCTGAAACTCTGTAACTTCTTCGCTGTAGCCGCTGCGCACGGCGATCCGAGTGTGGCGTGCCTAGAAATTTACGGCTGGGCCGGCTCGGCTTGGACATTATCCGGGATTCCAGCGCCGGATCCGAACCTGTTCGAAGGGCTTGTGAAACATGCTTCCCTTCACAGGGCATTGATGGTGCCGATGGTACCCAAACCTTCCAGTCTGCCTGCCTTAGAGAAATATCGTCATCATGTTTAGACCAAGCCAGGAGTCCGATTGCATTTTTCAGCTAAGCTTCTCTAAACCCTAAACCCTCAAGCGGAGCCTTGCCTGCCTTGTGCGAGAGTGAGAACCCTAAACCCAGCCTTGGTCAAGGGCCATTGCTAGATCTGGCAGTTCTTCATGCCACTGGTTCAGCCGGGCCACACGCGAATTCCAGGCCTTGCCGTGAACTCTGCGGCAGGCACAGGCTGCCCGCAAATAATGCGGGTGTGTTTGGCGAATTTCACCTGTTGGTCCTGGCGGTGCAAAGGGAAAGTGATGGAGAAAAGGCCTGCAGAAACCGAAATCTGAGGTGACTCCAAATCTAAATCCTGCATCGGGAGATGCTCCACGCATTGCTTGTAATGGCTCAGAACATTTTTAAGACCCCGAACATACGGTGTGGGTGAGCCCGCTGTTGCGATCGTGTCCGTCAACAGGGCTCGAAGTGTCACACGGGGCCAAAGGCCTCGCACTCTAGTTTCAGGAACAAAGACCACATCAGGCACAGCCACCAAAAGCCCTCCTCGAGTACTGCAGGCCTACTACCTCACAACCTGACAGCTTTGACACTGTATCATGTTATATATTTTCTACGGTGTGGTATATTATGCTATATGATACACCATAGATATCATAGTCATAGTCATAGTCATAGTGTTTGCATTTTCTGATGCACCTACTCCCCAAGCCAGCCCCTATCACCCTAGGGCTGGGCTCCCGATAGGCTCCCGTCGGCACCCCGCCTCTATGCGCCATGGGCACGTAGACGACTCTTGCTCAGTGGCGGCGGCAGCTCACCTGCACGACATCTTAGCCCCAAGGGATCGAGAACTGGGATTGGGGGCCGTGCCTTGTAGCTTCCTGATGATAAAAGTATGACATGAACTAGTATGATAGATAGAATGCCATACCATGTCATATCGTATCATGTAGCATGTGGAACAAAATTCTCACTGCGGTTCTGCCTACAGCCTCAAGATACCTCCATCCTCAACTCAACCCCAGAACGCCTGACGATGTCCGCTTCGCCTGTGAAAAGTAGGTTTAAGGAGCACAAACAAGGTGAGATATGGCTAGTTCTCAGAATTGGGGTCCCCTTTTAGGTCCCCAAAATGCAAAAAAGGACCCTAAACGGGATTCTAGATTTAGAGACTGAGATACCCATCCCCCAACCCTAAACCCTAAATGGATGTCAGGCATGGAGAGCATCCTGGAAGCTCTTGCCAAGCTGAGCTACCAGGCCGGCTGCAAGAAGCGCCGGGCAGAGTGTTTCGACTCGTAGAGTCTAGGGTTTAGGGTTCTCTCTCTCTCTCTCCCCTGTCTCTCCCCTGTCTCTCATCCTTCTGGCTTCTCTGGCTCTTTCTTCATCTCTCCCTGTGCCCCTCTTCTGTTCGCTCTCTGGTTTGAAGGGTCCGAAGAGATGGCTTGGTACTTGGTGCGTCTTGCACCTCGCAGATGCTCATAGCCTCGGCCCTGCAGAGTAGTCTCAAGGGCCCGAGGGACTCAAACCAAGTGCCTGCTAAGGTTCAAGTATCTCTTGCTGCTCGGATTCTCGGGTTGTTTCCTTGAGCTTTTGTCTTCTCCGCACAGGTCGTTTTAGATGTCCTTTCGGTTTGAAGCCAAAAGCCAGTTTTGCAAAATTGCATTGTCCTGCATTCAATGCCAAATGATACGTGCAAAAAACCTGTGTTGTCCTCTTGCAATCAACAACAATCGCGTGCAGCCATCCGCGTTCGTTCACCGTCCTCTATCAGCACCCATACCACAAGGTCCAGTCTGGAACAGCATAAGTGAAAACCCTCAGCCTGAAGCCCTGAACAAACACCGAACCCTAGGCCCTAGACGTCGAAACCCAAAAGGGGGCTCTTGGCAGAATTCCCTTGGCAGGATCTTGCCGCTATAGGGGTTGTACTCCTTGCAATCTTTATCATCTGTGCGGCTTGCCTGCAAGTTGCGTGGGTTACGTTCAAGGGTTTTCTCTTTTTGAGGTCCTTATTAGAGCTGTGATGCCCTGTGGTCAGTCAGGGCCAGGGAGCTCAGCAACTAGGACAGCATGCTAGCCTGTTGGGGGTGTACCTATATAAGGTGAAAGGGATGTATGTGAGCACTTCTGACAGCTAGAGGTTCTTAACTCATTTTGGGGGGCGAATGGGACCCTAGTGTTTGGAGTTTAAGCTGTCACCTTGCATGCAGCCATTGCAGCTGAGATAGCTTCTTGGCTGCTTTGAGAGTGTGAGCACGTGTGAGCACAGCAAAGTTCCTATCCAGTGGCGCTTTTGGAACGAGATATGCCCTTCTTGAGGAATTTGGGCGCCTGGTTGTTTGGACCGGTGAATCGTGCAGCGAACTCCGTGGCTGTGTGCTGCAAGGTAGGTTTTCCATGCTTCCTGGTGTTTGTCACAGCTACTGGCATTGGGCCAAGACGAGCCAAATGACGCTTGGAAAAGTTAGCAAAGTCGGACGAGGAATGTGAAATGTTTGCAGGCAGTTCTCATAAGCCAGCCCAGTCGATATGTTCTTCTGCTGTGTTCGCAGGGCTTTGTTGTTGCAGCTGTGAGCCGTGGTGTTGTTTTTTGATATTTCTTGAAGCCACTCATAGCCACTCGCTACCTTCGAGGGGAGACAATCCGAATGGGCCAGCGCCGAGATTTTGCGTGCCGAGGTGTTTGTTCTCATGTCCTTCGGTCTGTCAAGAGACCGACCCGCTTCGAGTTCCACAAGGCCAGAGAAGCGGAGAGGTTGAATATACTGTGATGTACTACAGTATCATATACGATCATATACTGTTATATATCATAGGTGCACTTTTGCAACGGTTTCCTCGTTGGGTCGGGTGCGTGTGTGTAGTGTGTGTGGTTGTATGTCGTGTGTGCTTCAGTTCTTGCGAGCAGAAAGACAACATTTAGTTGATAGAATGCAGAGCAACGAAGGGACGGCCGGTCACATTGCGTAGGGTTTTTGGGAGTAGAGCTGGCTGGAAGAATCATACAAAGGTTAATGCTAAGAATCTACAGGTTCGAGTACAAGTAATATTCGTTGGACTAACTCTCGTAGGCCAGCAATGATCATCCACTTTTTCTTGACATGATGCCGATACTGGCCTACACCTTTCTGTTCCCGGATGCTCTTCGCCGAAACTTTCCCTTGGTTTTTGCAGGAGGAGTCGCCACGGAGTCCTCCAATAGTCCTTCGCTACGCAATGTACCTTAAATCAACAAGGATCCCCCGTACTTTGGAGCGTTTTCCAAACTTAATATAGGAGCCGTCCCCAAACTCGAAACGCAGAGAATCTGTGTAGCTGTCACGGACGTGCCTTTTGGGGGCTTAGCTGAGGGTTTAGAGCTTATGATGGTTAGCCGTAGTAGCGGTGCAACAATGACTCCCTAAACCCTAAACCCTAAACCCTAAACCCGTAGGGTTCAGGGTTTAGGGGAGTAGCCTTGCTGTTGAAACCCGGCCTTGCCTGCCTTGTGCGAGAGTGAGAGCCACTTGGACGGTGAGAGTCGAAACCCTTAGCAGCCTTAGCACTACTGTATTTCATATTCAAAAAGATATGTGGATCTTTTTGTTTTGGTTGCTTGCATTCCTGGGGCCCCTCTCTTGATGTTGTTGCTTTGGGTGAAGCTGTCACATGCCCCAGTAGCAAGCCGTGGTAGATGGACCTCATGTCAGAACCCGTGCTTGCTGGAGCGAGTGCGCGTGTCGAAACCCTCAACCAGACTTAGTGCGAACTACATGCCTCTCCTGGGATTGTCCGAATGTGAGAGCCGAAGCCCCAAACCCCCACACCCTAAATCCTAAACCCCAAACCCGAGGGTGGAGGGAACATAGCCCGAAAGAGTGGGGAGTCGGGGCCTGCAGATCCTCCCGCGGCTGTTCTTGGGCAGAGCCTCGGCGGCAGACATATATATATATATATATGTATGTATGTATGTATGTATGTATGTATGTATGTATGTATATATATATAGAGCAATAAAAACAAAGTCTAATTTCATGCTTCGGCTTGGGGTCTTGTGGTCGCAGCCTTCGTCCGGAGAGTGCACCATGTCACTCACAAGCCCAGTGCCACTTCGACATGAGGCCTGCCACGAAGCTTAGAGGATCTGGAGTCTTTGAAGGCAGAAGGCGTGGGGGCAGTGGCCCCTTGCCTGCAGAGAGGTGGCTCGAGGGCGTTAAGATCCTCCGGTTAAAGGTTCACAGTGGTTGTCTCAAAACATGTTATGATGGATGGCTTTGTCTTGTGGACCCCAAGCCAGGACGAAGGTTTCTTGAAGCCCGACACCCACGGCATGCTTTCACCTGAGGTGACACTCAACGAGCCATGGGAGATGGCGCTTTCCTCAAGATTTGTCAGGCCGAGCTGATATCTGCGATCTAGCCGCCTCAGAAAGATTGCGTGCAGCCAGGAAACAGTCGGCTGGTTCAGTTCTGAGTAAACGTATGACATGTAAATCTCTCTTTCTCTGTGTGTATACATATACATACGTATATATATATATATACATATATATATATATAATAACTTTTCCAAAGAATACTAAGGCATTCCATAGTATATTAATGCAGTATACGTTATCAAGAAGTTGTCTAGTGCATTATAATGTACTAATATAACTATCACTACATAGTAACTGTGCTTTGCAGGGATGATTGCGGCTTGGACCACTTGCACTTGCCCACGCCGGACTTTTTCTCGCCCACACAGCCGGACATAGAGGCTCGATGGGTTTTAGGGTTTAGGGGTTAGGGTTTAGGGTTTAGGGTTTCGGGTTTAGGGTTTAGGGTTTAGGTTTTGAGGGTTGCATGGGCGCTGGCCGGCACCTCAGTCCGTGCTGAAAGGGTTTAGGTTTTGGGGTTAGGGGTTGAGGGGTTCAGGGTTGAGGGCTTCGGGGTTTGGGGTTCAGGGTTAGGCGTCTGGGGGCCGGTGGAAAAGGAATCAGCGGCCGTATGCATGTGCGCATACAGCTCTTCGCAGGAGGTCTTCTTTGAATAGTAAAGTACCGAACCCTTGGAGACCCGAAAGAGCAACAGACCTGGACATCTAGACAATAAAATTATGTATCGAAGCTACCGGGTTTCAATACGGGAACACCAGCGATGAGCCAGTCGTTCTATGGTGAAACTGTGTGCGTTGCGACAATCTTGGGGTCGTGCAGCTCGCATCACCGTGATAGACGCCAGCCCTTTAGTAACGTGGCGACTCGCTTCGTCCAGTCCAGGCAGCTGTCACGTTCATCACTGACCACATTGCCAAAGGCTGGCCTGCAGATATTGATTGTTATCACTGTTTTGGCGCCTAGCTCATTTGCGGCATGGGTGGGAGCCAGTCCGACAGAAGTTTGCCTTGCCGTCTGACCCTCCAAACCCTGAAAAACCTTCTACTAGACCCCACAGAAAGCGTTAAGCCGTTCTGAGAGGCAACGGTGTTTACGTGCACTGCAACGGCGGCCGTGGGCGCAGCGTGGTTTGTGTTCTTTGCTACCTCGTCAGTGCTTCGGCGGAGTCGGGGATGAAGAAAGTCTTCGGCTTTTCAGCACTTGCTCCCTGGACCCCGAAGGCCTCAAACCCGCCAGATCTGCAGGTCTCCAAGTAACCTGTGACACTGATCCTTTTGATGCTTCGTTGAGCTTGTTGCCCTTAGCCCTCAAGTTGGCTTCGGGGTTCTTCCGTGTAAAGTCGATAAGACATCTCTCCGCATCTTCGAAAGGATCATGTTACTGCGGATGCTTGCATTGTCCTGTCTCAATTAAACCCTGCGATGCAGGCCTAGTCCCAGTCCTAGCCATGTGGGGGCAAAAAGCCATGAACCTCGCACCCCGAAGGCCTCAGCATTGAAACCCTGCAATCCCTCAACCCGGGAGGGAACCCCAAGGCCCTAACCCCTAAGCACTCGGAGCGCCGAAACACTACACCAGGGTCCCTGGATCTGTGCCTGCCTCGAGCGAGCGCGCGAGTCGAAACCCTAAACCCAAGCCCCGAAAAGGGTCCAGACCCTAAACCCTTACCTTTCCACGCTGAGCCCTAAACCCTAATCACACTCGGACAAATCCAGGCAAGGTCTGGGGCAGCCGGAAAAGGGAGTTAGCCAAAAATCCTAAACCCAAACATTTCCCAAGCCTGAACCCCACAAAGGCTCCGAGGGGATGACTGCAGAGGAAGCCTTCGACATGGTAGCCGGTAAGCGGCGGGTCGCAGCTCGGCGCAAGGAATCCGATGCGGCCTACGAGGGTTTACATGCATATATGCATAGAAACAGACATGTTTGTATGCCATATGTATATCTGTCTGCAGCAGAGTAACAACAACAGCAAAGATGCCAAGACAGTATGTGTGTATATATAAATACATGTATATCTTTACAATACTTTGCGCATCTATATATATATATATAGATATGTGCGTGTAATATATATATATATATA